AATATAATAATAATAACAAAATTCTTTATTGCACAAACTAAACATAGATATAGAGAGACACACAAAATTAGAGACACAGACTTAGAATTAAATATACATAATAAAACATGTTTGTGCAAAGGCGGCCTTATCGCCTATGGCGATGTCTTCCAGCCAACCTTTGCATGTAGAAATAAAAAAATGAAGTAATGTCGGAAAGGTGTCGATGTAGGGAAGAATTAGGTCTTAAATGTGATTCATTATAAAGCCAGTGAGGCCAAGGCTAAATTGCATTACCAAGAAAGTATTGCTTGATTGAAGTATTAATATATATCTCGCGTTTAAACCGTCAAAATATGTTTTAAACTTTTAAGCATCCGAATAGTCGAAATGCGTTTATATAGATGAGTTTAACTAAAATATTTCGTTTTTAAAACCGTCAAAATATTTTTTCAGCATCTGATATGTCGAACGCGTTAAAAAAACACGTTTAACGAAAATACTTCGAGTTTAAAACCGTTAAAAATATTTTATATAAATGAGTTAAGTTTGCTTAAAGTTAGCGGAGTATGTCTACCACACCTAACGGCACAATATTTAGGCCGAGTGGCCATAGGAAGTGCAAATTATGTAACGACACACTAAATGGACGCTTCACTTATATGGCAACACGACATCTTATTTAAGATTCTGTAAACGAATTTAAACTCTATAGGCCTTTTTAAAATAAAATAAAATTATCTCTTTAGAATTTTAAATTATTTAGATTCGTCTTTAGAATTTTAAAAATTACTTAGATTCACAGGTCAACAGCAAGTAAAGTGCTTTTAAGTTCGTTTATTTGGACGCGCTTATCTCAGAAACCACTGATTCGATCAAAATTGTGTTTTATAGACAATTTATCGTGGAAGACTCCAGGCTATATAACATCACGCTACGACTACTAGGAGCAAAGGAATAGTGGAAAATGTTGAAAAGACAAGGAGAATTCATCTTTGAGGGCTCCCGTTGCGTGCGCTGCGAAAGCGGTTTATGAAACCAAAAAACCAGTTTAATAGATTGATTTCCCTTTAAATGATCTAAAAAAATGTCAGGGACAGTATATATCTCACTTTAAGATTAACTTGCGAGAACCGGTTTTATGGTGACCTATTTTTGTTAAAACGAATGCCTTATTACCAATTATTTTTTATACTTTTATCAACAATAAAACTAAACTCGTAAACAACAAGTCGAATCTTAATATGTGTTACAGACACAGTTAGGATAGTCTATGTCATATATAGACATTTAAATAAAACACTTTAATTTAAAACCATATAATTAATTATTATATTTTTAATCCCATTTAAATATTTAATATATTCTTCAATTTATGCTATAGACATGTCAAAATGCATATAAGTATATCATTGTCTTTCGGGCTGTTCGGCCGATATGAGCGAGAAGAGGTTCTCGACGTTTAATTCTTCGAGCAATCGAGTAGTTAACATCTCCTGATGATGCCGTCCACACGCTCCACACGTGATGGCGAAACGTCGAGAACCTCTTCTCGCTCACATCGGCCGAACAGCCCGAAAGAAAATGATATGCTGAACGTTGGCCGTGAAAGCCTTACAAATTTTGCATATAAGTACTTGACAATTTAGCAATCCAATTAGCACTAAGGGCTAGCCCCTTGGGGTCAGGGGTCTGGACCTAAGGGCCTAATAATGTCAAGGGAAGTCAGTATTATACCCATATTATACCTAATTCTGTGTGATAGGGACACAATGACAGTAACAGACCAACAGATAATGCGGCTATCCGGCGTTTATTATCTATGGTGTAGGGCTTCCACCCAAAATAAATAAGGTTATTTTTGTAGTCGTCTCGCTTCGATATTAATTCTAGTGTGTTATCCTTAATATTAAACTACATAAAGCTAGAGAATGTAATTAAAATGTAGTTATTTTTTATTCAGGGAATTACATATTTGATGAAAAACCCAGTGTGAAAAGTTGGCCAGTGTTCCAGAAGTACCAATTTCATTCATTTGTTTAATATTAAAAAAGGGTACAAGTCCCTCATATTCAACAGAGTACAGACAGTAGAGGTATAGTTTTTCTCCAGTGACATCGCTTGTCACTATTCGACGCTATGCCCAAGTGTGATATCATCTTACGTATATCAAAGTTGCACTATTAGATATTAAAATTGGGAGCCAAACGTAAAATTAAGAAGAAGAAGAAAAATACGAGGTCAAAGTAAGAAAATTTAGAATATATGAAGAGATTATAATTTTATGGTGTACGAACGGACATCGAACTCACGAAAACTGAGTGGGTGTTTACTACGAGGGAATTGCGTTACTCTCTCGTTCGTGACAGCCCTACGATCAGCTGAACGATTTGATTTGAGTACAATTGATATTGTGAATGCTAACTCCGATACATTGAGTAGATTTCAAGGTTTTAAGATATTTTTAACATTTGCCCACTGAGTGGAGGGACGCGAGGGCGAAATCCCGTTAACCCTTACATGGGGCATGGGGCAGACATTTCTGTGTCTGTTTTAGTGATCGAATTTATTGTAGATTTTACTGACGAGCTTTTACCGTCGTCTGCGCGGAATAGTTATTTTGTGCATCATATGTATTAACATATTTTTGCAAACAACCTCCTCGGCTTTATAATTACAGCTGTTATTACCCATGACGTCGCTTGCGTCTCATATAGGTATGCAGTCTCGCACATTATATGATTATAAGAGAAATGATTATTTCCTATCTAGAAAAATCGTTTTCGGAATTGGCTAACAAACCTCGTCAGCCTTATAAGGATAGCGCAGCAACTAAGGTATAGGGAGGGAGAATTTATGTATCCTACTAACCTACTAATATTTAACGTGAAAGCTCTTAAATGTGGATGGATAAGTTGGTTCTCGTTTTCCACACTACTTGCACTGTTTCTAATATATGGACATAGGATAAAATGGTCTATCTAACAAAAAAAAATTTTTCAATTCGAACCAGTAGTTTCTGAGATTGACGCTTTCAAACAAACAAACTCTTCAGCCTTATAAGGATAGACTAGTAATTAGTATAGGTAGCCAGAATTTATGTATCCTACTAACCCTACTAATATTATAAACGTGAAAGTTTGTATGTGTGGATGGATGTTTGTTACTCTATCACGCAAAAACTACCGAATGGATTTCAATTAAACTTGCCAATAACATAGCTTATACATCAGATTAACACATAGCCTACAATTTATAAAGATATTGTGTAAGCTGTCCAAAATATGGCATTCAGTGTCAAGTAATGAAAAAAACCACAGATGCGACGATCTCCGTATAATAATACAATAGTACCATTTTTTTACATTATTAGTAAAAACCATCATTTAAAATCACTGCAATAGTAAACCGACCTTTTTTTTTCAAAACAATAGGATACTTAAACCGTGACTCACCTTACCATCGATACCACAGCACGTTGAACTTGCAGTTGGTAAACTATGACGCAATATGTCAACAAACTGTTCTTTTTAATAAGATAAAATAAAACTGATTTTATGTTTAATCTACAGAGAGAAATTATTAAAACTTACATCAATATCTGCAAGCTTTAGGTCTTAGTATTTATTTGATGTTTTCAATAAGTCTACTGCTTACTACTGCTGTTTCTGTTTTTTTTTCATTTTGAAAGAATATGAAACGAAAATATACAACTTCTTTAAGTATATTCGCGAACACGCTCGTAAACTTCGTCGCATTATATTTCTTTATTTTACAAATTCTAGTTATGCATCTAAATAAAATTAAAATCACTACCGTGAAGAACTAGTTCGCTTGGCAAATACCTACATAATTTACAACATGAATTCTTACTAAAAAAATATTTAAAAATTAGTCTAATATCAAATGTACAAATACAGACAAGTAGAGTTGAGTTACTGTTATTATGTATACTGCATTGAAAACGAACCCGAGGCTTGTTTAAAAACATATCACCAATTTACGATATGTAACACGCGTTTAAAAATTGAATAACTGTTCAATTTGTAAACTGTAATTATTATGTTTCTTTTGTTATCTACTATTAATATACATTTAAGGTAAAAATAATCTTACGTATTTATAATGATGAAACAATCGTAGTACATAAATAACATTGCTGTAAGTAGGTATATATAGAATTATCCGATGATAAAAAAAATATGTTAGTAACAATAATAATAAATAACGTAAGTACTACAAAAGTAAAAAAACGTGTTAAGAAAAAAAGCCGAACAGTTTTTCGTAATTCTGTTGTTTACAAAATATAAGGCATCCGAAACGTCGGGCCGAAGTTAAAAATCATTTTCAAATAAGTTTAACTAATATACCGCGTTTTAAACCGTTAAAGTGTTTTATTTGAATTGAATAATATTAATGTGGGTATGTGAAGAAGTAAGTAATATCTTAGTTTTGCTTTAACCAATAAACATGCATAGGTATATTGTTGTTTTTTAATAAAACTAATTTGACAACGTACTAAGTTAATTTATTTTCGATTTTTAAATTATATAGTGCCTTCATGTGCAATAAAAAATAATAAAGTTTTCAAAGGTACAAAGTTATTAAAAAATAACTTTTGTCAGGTTTAAATTAAACACTTGAACGCTTTAAAACGCGATATATTTTTGTTAAAACTTGTTTAAAAATTATTTTAACTACGATCCGACGTTTCGGATGCTTCTGCTGCTGTAAGAAAATTTAAACAAGTTTAACTCATATTTATATTGCGTTTAAAACAGTTAAAGTGTTTTATGTAAAAACTCGTGTAAACGACAGACAGTAACTTTGTCAGGTTTTTTTAACACTTCTGTATATTATATAAAAAATATTAAACTTGACAGTTAACTAGCTCGTAGATTTAACATCGAGTTTCCTAGAAAGTAGGGCGTATGCCTTCCTCAAGCTTTAAGTTTTATCATCTAATGCCATAAGTACTTTTAACATATGTATAATTTTTATTTCTAATAGAAAGTACTCACTCAAGGGCGAAAGGTCCGAAATCACATCCATTTTGATAACACACACTTCTTTTTCACTTTAAATGGATGTTTTAACCTGTCATCCATTTCTGCACACTCTAATCACTACACCATCGCACATATTTAATTATTACACATTTTACGTATTGAATAGATACTAACAATCACTTCCGACAAACTGTCCTAAGGCTTTAAATAACTAATTTAATATTGGAAATCCACATAATTTCTGATATTTCCGGTTCCAGCGATGATCCAGGTGTAGATTGGTATTACTGTTTATTTTTATATTGCGTTATCACACGAAATATTCGTCTAAAAGTTCACAGAACAAAAACACAAGCGAACGTCATCCAGCCAAACTGGTTTTGTTATTTTTTCTCCGAAGTTTTGCACCACGTGATCGATCTACGTCGCTTGTTTCGCGTTTGTGTCAACAGATGGAGTTGTATTAAATCACGTAGTAGTTATAAATCGATTATAAATTGAAAAAAATAAATATGGACAGGACTCGAATCGACATCCACAGCGTTCCGTGCTGTTGCTTAAGTTTTTTAAATTTTTAATAGATTTATAATTTATATAGTATTAAATTATATAGTGCCATCATGTGCAATAAAATGTAAAAAAATAGTTTTCTAACTTAGGAATATTTATTATTTAATAACTTTTCTAATGTATGTTAAGTACATAGTTCAATGTGTAATTAAGAATTATTATTATAAGTAAGTAGTAGTACTCCGATATAAAACATATTATAAAATAGATAATATTTATTTAAATAACGTAAATTATATTTATATTTAAATGCTGCTTATTTGTATAATTCCGTTTTAGTCAAAGCGCAATATCGGTGTCTTTTGTTACACACGGTTCTTTAATATTAGTAGCGACATCTAGTAGAAAGGCTGTAAGCTAAAAATTAAATTTTCACTCGTTTTGATTAGATTTTACGAGAATCTAAGCGTAAAAACTAGTAATTACGAATCGGAATGCCGAAGAATCAAATTTAATATTTATGACATTGGGTATTTTTTATATTATGCAACTATTGTATAATATCAAAGATTTTGCAAAAGATCTTCGGCAGTTACAAGAAAAAATTGTTTTTGCACCCACGACGTCGGATGTCCCATCGTTCTTGCATCTTAAAAGATAGATATATAGTGTTGACATTTTTTTAGATCATTTTTTAGAGAAATCATTCTTTGCTACATATTTTTTGGGTATTTTGCAACTTTTTTTTTCCTTCCCCGAAAAAAAACCCAAAAATTTTTTCCCTTTCCCCCCAAATTTCCCCCTGAACTTCGCCACATTCGTCACGCTCGGTTTTGCTAACTTCAATAAATGCTCTAACCAACACAGAAAAGGTTCAATTCGAACTACTTCCAGAGTAGCGCGTTCAAACATACAAACAAACAATCTCTTCATCTTTATATATTAGTATAGACGATAGATTACATTTCAATATTTCATCACGAATCAAGCTAATATAATCTGAAGTGTGTCAAACCGTTGCCATGGTAACTATTAAACAAACAAAATCACATCAAACTACGTATTAAGATAAAATAGAGTATAATCTAAGTATGACTTGTTCACTTTAAGTTAAATGCGCCAAAATAAACATTAATTAAAGAACTAATTGAATTGTTTTAGCGTGAAAATCCTGGAAAATGCCGGAACTAATCGAACAGATGTATTGTTCTCAACAAATCGTTATACCGCCCAAGTTTCCTTACGCCTTGAAAAGATACTGCAAAGGTAATTTTGTACAAATAATAATAATATATTACTTTTTAATAATTTAAATATTAGTGAAATTGCAAGGCTGGAATTAATAGCTGCCTCTTAGTAGTATATACCTACATATTTATAAATGACAGCTGTCACATACGATGTCCTTCGCGTCCCATTGCGTCCTTCTTGCAAGTTAATCTGAAATATCTGATGTTTTTAAAACATAGATAAAAAATTATTTCATACATATTGCGTCACTTGCATCGTGTTCACAGCTCACGCAACTGAAGCCTCTAATAATGAATAATTTCGCTAATATCGGTAGAAGCTGATGATGAAGACGTTTTGTAACCTTCCTCGATGCATGTTCTAACCAACGCAATAATTTCTCAATTCGAACCAGTAGTTCCTGAGATTAGTGGGTTTACACAAAAAAAACAAACTACAGCTTTATGATATTAGTATAGATTTTCTAATGAAACAAATTGAAACTTTAAAATTCTAACACCTGGGATTTGGGCCATCTAATGTTTAAATAAAACGAATAATTATGTTTAGATAAAACACATTAACGGTTGAAAACGCGATATATATTAGTTAAACAAATTTTACTTGTCTCCCCGTGACCACGACTGACGAAGTTTAACTAATACATCTCGCGTTTAATCCGTTAAAGTGTTTTATTTAAATGTGTACTACTCGCTTAAACTACAGATAGTGTTAATTATATGTTGGCCAAAGGTAGGTCTTACTTGTTTTATAGTACCTAAGTAGTAAAATCCCCCTTGTAGGGCACGTAGCGAACACATTTCTGTGTCCGTTTAACTGATCCGCTCTTTAACGGGCAAGTAGTTGATCAGGGTTCTGTGCACAGCCCGACCGGAACAATTTTTGTTTCCCTGGGATTCGAACTCAGGACCTCTCGCCTTTAACGCAATGCTAGGCTGAATACAGAGGCGGTCTTGTTTTATACACATGACATATTTGGTTTTATTTCAGCGGCAATAAAAACCCAGCCATATGATCTTCTTCGTTGGTCCTATGAGTACTTCACAGCCTTAGCTGAAAACAGACCTCCACCTGTAAAGTTACGCCTGGAGTATCCAGTCTATAGCACCGAGGGAGGACTGACCAGAGGCTGCTTGAAGGTTCTAGCGTGTCAGGTAGGAATTATTGAAGATATTTGTGTAAGGTCTACCCTCAGAAGTTTGGCTGGGTTAAATAGTCTATATGTTATTTTTTTTTAATCGAAAATAAATTGATTTTTTTTTTAACTCGGGCAGGGCTTGATCCGGCATCCACAGCGTTCTGTGCTGTTGCTCTACCAATTGAGCTATGAGTCCTACACCTCATCGTCGATTTTTTTCAACTTATTGACTTTTATAACATTATAAACTATGGCTGTTACCCTCCACGTCGTCCCATCGTTCTTGTAAGTCAATCTTAAAAGATAGACTTATAATGACGCGGAGGGATTTTTTTAGATGATTCAAAGAGTACCTAATCTTTCTTTTATATTTATTTTTCGTTATCTTGAACAGAAGAAGAAGAAGAAAAAGATGAATAATTTTTCCCGTTATTTTTTCATATTTCCCGCTGTTTCTTCTCTCCTATTAGTCACATCGCGAAGTGACCAACGCAAAAATAATACCACCAGTACTTCCGGAGATTAGCACGTTCAAATAAACAAACAAGTCTATCTAAAGCTGCGACATAAGATAACTTGACAGACACCGTAACGCGTTAGGTAAGAAAAACTTCACCCTTCTCCAAAAATTTCTTTACAGCTCAGTGGAATCAACTTCCTACCCTTAACCACGGTTCGAAAGGCATGGCGTGGCTTCTGCCTTGACCCCGCGGAGTTGAAAAGGCTGTTCTGTCTTTGCGAGGTGTATTTGAGAGAGGAGTTCGTCCCTTTCTTGCATGTTATTGCAGTGGCTGCTGGGCTATTGACTAAGGTGATAAAAATATTTTATTCAATGAGACCTTTCAATGGTTAAGCGTGAGAGGTCCTAGGTTCGTATGCCGGGGCAACGATAACTTCTTTCGGTCGGAAAGGGCACAGATGACTGATCGTTGGTGTAAATGTAATGAAAAAAATGGCTAATGATTGCGTCGTTCGGTTCCCACCGAGTCCCAAGAATTTTCTGTAATATGTTTGACTTCGTGTGAAAATCTGGATATTGTATGGGTACGAATACCGAATTTCCGCCCAAGTCATGAACTACCGTCCACAGATGAAAAAGCCGTTAAGTTAAATGGCTTTTCGGTTTCAGTTCAGTTTTCACTTGTCTGTCTTCCTCTCTGAAAAAAAAATACTTGTCTGTAAATTAAATGGATTAGTGCAACGGATACAGAAATATGTTCGCTTCATGTACCAAAGAGGGAAACGGGTTTTCTAACTAGTGGTGGAATGAAAGTATAAAACTTCAGATAATTATAATAGTATAGTTAATTTTAAGATTTCAAGTTAAGTTTCACGTTAGAGGTTACTTTTCCGATTGTGGAAGTCGTTTTTTTATTTCGATTAAATTTCCAAAATTAGTAATTGCAATTTAGTAGCTCGTGTTAGCGAGCGACATTTTTTTTTTCAATATAATTCTAATTGAAAGACAATTTTAAGCGATTTACATGTACAAAATAGCTTAGGGTTGGTGAACTTATTTTATCTGCAGTCTCTTACGCACACGATGATACTACTATGCGAGACGTTGACGAAGGAGCCGGATGGTGGCTCAGCTGCAATACCTGTTGATGACTTCTTGACGATGTACAGATTCCTAGCCGCTATGGACGCGTCTAAAGATGTTAAATACCTGAATGGCTATAGAGAGGGTGAGTTTTCCTCGTATATAGATGGTACTAAAAAGGATAATAATATTCCATATGAAAAAGATAATAAATTACCAATACAAAAGCTAATTTCTATCAGTTTAAGGGAGTTAATTATTTCTTACATTCTAAATAGCGTAAAAGTGGTCGATATTCTACCACATCTTTGATGTTTTTAAAACTTGCCGATAGCAAAGGAAATGACAGAACGCATTCCGTAGTTATAATTTAATAAATTCCGTTTTCAAGCTCACGCAACGGAAGTCTTCAAAAATGGACAATCTATCCCGTTTCTTCCATATTTCGTAGTTCCATAGAGATTAGCTCATTCAAACAAACTCTTTAGCTGTAACAATGTTGCCCGTCATGCTCTGACTACATTTCCTGGGTCTAAACGAATACTCTGTATAATAAAGAGAACTATTTTTCCAGGGGAGTCTCCGAAGATGGAAGAGTCGGTCGAAGAAGAGCTTTTGACGAAGTCGGCTTCAGAAATACAACTATCAGATGTAATTATTATTTCACTACCTTTTTCCAAAATGTCGTATAAATTGTATCGTAATCTACACTTAATATAGTACTATAATATAGCTCATATCAGACGATTACTGGCAAGATGCCTCTGATCTGCAACAACTGACAGTGATAAATGATCACCTCCCACGTTCTTCGAGGCTCAGTCAACGGATGAACATGCCCGTGCTTGGCAAAATAGAGAGATCCCCCTCCATGGAGAGAGCGGGACAGATAGAGCGGGAGAACTACTTGAGAGAGAGGAAAGGTTATATGTCGGCAAAATAGTACCTTAAATTTGAAAATTGTATATGACTAAATCTAGAGTATTGACTTTGAGAATAAATAACATTTCAGGTAGAGCTGCTCCTAGTGAAGAAGTTGAAGTTAGTTTTTATGGTCTTCAGATATACACATACATATTATAGTAGTTAGGTAGATCATAACATTCTTTAAATCTGTATATTCTAAAAAAAAGTCGTGTTAGTTAAACTTTTTATAACTCAAGAACAACTGATTAGCTGAAAATGTATAATATGGTAATAGTGAATAAATATAGCTTAACATTCAGACTTTGTTTCATCGATATCGGTTTCCATTCACTAAGGGTCTTTAAAAAATATGAACGTCATAACAACAGTCAAAAGTCACTTTAATATGTTATCGAAGTTCTGATGATAGATCTAGTAAAGCGTGTGTGAGAGAGAGAGAGAGTAACAATAACAGTAGAATTAACCATTAATAACTAGTAACAATAAAATTGATAGTAATATAAAAGTAAACATAAATATATCAGAATATATAATATTGAATAATCCAATTTTAATTAATAATAAAATCTTGCTTTGTTCTAGAAAAAACTACGTGAAATTAGTGCTTCTAAAATGGGCCTTGATGATAAGAAGGAAGGTAAGATTTTTATAATTTCCTAGAAATAAGTCGTTTCACTAATATAATATAAGGAGGTATTCGTAAATCGGTAATGATACATCGAAATGGTCTACTTGTTTTGTTTTTTTCTAATACACCGAAAACAGGAATTGTGTACATTGTCTTCTGTAAGGAATACAAGACCTCACTATTACCACAAAGTAATAAAGTGGCGGCTTTATAAAACAAACAGTTAATACTCCACTTATTATTTAGATAAAAAAGAAGAGAAACCGGAGAAAAAGAAAGATACAATTGAAATACTTGTCACGGATGAAGAAGATAACGAGTTGCCATACGAAATATACGGTTATTTTTTGTTGTGTTTTCTAATAAAACTTGTTTAGCAGTAACCTATACAAATTTATATTTTTATTAAGAATATTGTAGTCTTTCGTAGACAGAGTTTTTAAATAAAAGCGATGACAATATCTAAGTTTGGTGCAGTATAAGCAATTGTATTGACCCTCTGTTAATAGGAGAACCTAAACTAGTGGCAAGTGTTCATGAAGAAGTAGTGGAAGGTGAAGAAGACGACGAAGACAAAGAAAAAAATTCTGAGGAAGAGAAAATAGATATAGCTGCCTATGTTAATGACGTAAATCACTCACTAATAGTCTCTACTAAATTTATGTTACGTAAATTTATCACTTATAAATAGAACATACACGCGTATCAGAGACGTTACACAGGTGCCGTAGATTTATTTTAACTAATGTTGCCAGTTATATGACGACCGCGAAGAGAGACGGGAAGATCTTGAAAGGACCTTCGATGAAATTGGCGATATCGTTGATAGATTCAAGTCTGCTAACTACGACCTTGGTTAGACCTTACCTTGTCTATATTCCTTCTCATCCTTTTCCATATTTCTTTAATAATGATGAAATAACCGCGGCTCCATCATCATTTATTTAGGGTTAACCAGGGTGCAATTACGACATTCATGACACACTGACACATAACACACCTAGAAATATAATTATTGCAATATTCTTGCATTGTTGTGACTTGTGGGTATTACTCTGGTAATGTTTTTTTTTACTAGGCATGGTCGCCGGCCGTCAAATGTCCACCACGAGTGGAGAGTTCATCGTGCAGCATATTGAGAGGGAGATAATGGAGTATATAGATGAACAGATCGCCATCTTGCCAGATCCGGATCTGAAAAAGAAAAAAGTAAGTTCATTATCACCCTTAAACTAAGAGCCATTGCTGGATTAGTTGGAGGTGTAAATGCCTGGTTTAATCTGTCTTCTTTACATCAATGTAACAATATAACATATCATCTCTGATATTCCCTCAATCTCTTTTAAGTGATAAGGCACAAATCAAGAGATTTCTGTATCCGTTACTCATTTTACAAGACCATTTTTGTTCTTGTGTTGTACTTAATCATTTAACTAATTATTATATTATCTGAATTAACAAGCATAATTTACCTTAATAGGTGTTCTTGCAAAAGAATACGTTAAATTTGATTTTGATAACGAAAGTGAGTGTAATTTTGTGTGCATAGGCCAAGCCGGAAGAAGTAGCCATGATTAGGGAAATCCTGGACAACTTCCTCGATGAAAACATGGACATTATCGTTCCGGAAGTTGAGGAGGTGGAGGAAGAGGAGCAGCCTATTCCAGAAGTAAGTAACGCTATTTAATAAGATTATATGTAACTACGTTTTTTTACCTATCTTTAAAAAAGTATGGTGGTATGGTATTTTTATATAGCCGTATAAGGTAATCTTCAGATGACTCATCGTATTTATATTTACTTTCTCTTTATGTTCAAAATATGAATTCTTATGCATTAGCCTTTTACGTGAAGAATGATTTCATTGTTTTCCATTTTCCATGCCACTTTCTTTTACATCAAATTAATTTTGCCTTGTTTTTGTACTCTGGTAAAAAATGCCAGCCAGTAAGATTCTTTTTGAAGATACACTTCAGAAAACTGGATGAAGTATAGTCATTATAATTTCTCAAGATTCAACTTATGCAACAAATTTTCATAACAGATACTACAAATGTATTACCACCTAACTATGTCTTCTTCAGATAACAGTGGTGTATGCTGTACCGGGTATTGGACCCATCGTGAGTGAGGATATCACCGTGGACTTCGAGAACTACATTCTGGAAGTGACTAAAGTACAAGCCGACGTTGTGATGCCGAGGAACATACGTCACTTTATGTGCCCTCCGTTGGAGAAGTATGACTTGAAATAATTTGAAGGCGAAAATTAACAAAATAATTTAGATAACGAAATAACACAGATGGAACTCGAGCCTACGAGCATGGTGGTTGGGGGGTCGAGTCCGACGATGTCTCGGTACGCTGTTGCGTACCGAGACATCGTTCTACGTACCTTTTCAATTAATATTGTTGTGGCAAGCTGTTTTTTATTTATTTATAATATTATTTCTAAAGTTGTATGTAATAGAGCTAGATTATATAAAATAATCTAACTCGTTTCTACTTTTTGAGTTGTATCTGCACGAGTCGTACACATTTCACAAATCACGCACTTTGTGACGGCTTAAAACCGAGAACTTTAAAAGTCATTATTATTAAGCATTTTCACGTAAAAAATAAAACACTTTAACAGCCGTGTTCACGGCTGCTGCAAAGCATCAGGAACGTCGGGTCATAATTAAAAAAAAAAAGTTTAACTAACATATTTGGCGGTTTAAACCATTAGTTTTTCATTTAAATTTATCCTACTTGCGTAAACTATAGACAGTATTTAAAATGTTACTGATACTTTTTTATGTTATTGCATATATTTAGATCTTTAATCTGTCTAGTACCTACATCTAAATCTCTATTTCAGATATGTAGAATACAATTACGAGGATCAACCGAAGAGGGAAGAGGTGGCAATGGGAGGCGTTATAACTGATTAATACTTTTCCATTTACGTTATAGTCATATACACTTGTTCATCCAAGTAATATCTAAATCCTAAAATCTAGTTTAATTTTGTAAGGGACCTATCAAATTAAAAATTATTAGCACCAAGCTAGTTGGTACACGTGTATAGAGTTCAAATGTTTAGTCGGATGATATAAGATCGGTAATCAGAACGTTTATTATAAAGGCTAATACCACCCTCGAAATTGGCAGTTAGGGATGGTCCACCTCTTCGTTCTCAGAACACTTTAAACTAACAGTTATATTTACCGCTAGAGACAGAGTAGCCTAACTGAAATTTTATGACTTGAGTTACTATATATAGTTATTAGAGTTGCACTGTACTAATTCATTTTCGCCTAAGTTAATTGCGCTTTTTTATTTTCCTCCTTATTGAACCATGTTTTTGGTGACAGCGTCTTATAATTCGATAGACCCGGCTGCACGCACGAAAAAACATGACTCATGCGGCGTTACCTCGCTCGCGTTCCATGTAAGGCTTGAAGTGCAAGCGAGAGCGCGGAACGAGCGACAAAAAAACACAATCGGCCTTTGCGTTTGGCGTTCGACATCCGTCTCTCTCCTACTTATTAAAAAAAAATCAACGTAATAATAATAAATCTAACTTATCAATTTCTTTGTATTTCCAATTACCTCCTTCTCTATATGCATACAAATCTTTTGAAAAATGCTACCATTCCATATTTTATTTCACGTTCAACTATCGTCAGTAAACCGACTTTACAGACAACAAATTTTTTTTTGTTATAAAGCCATTCTGCCTCTAGCAGCCTCATATAACTCCAGCATTGGGACATTAGTAGGATGTAACAAAGCTTTTCTACTTTATAATGTTTGTTGTTCATTCTACTTGTTATATATTAAAGGCACTGTTAGGGAATCAAAATAAAAGATTGAAAAACTTTACATTGTTTTTATTTTAATATATGGAATAATTATAACCTGCGTGTATATGCCGTCCTATCACCACACACCATGATTCTATCTTGCTATCTCTGTCTCGCATTCAATGTTGAAGACTGTATCCATTGGCTATGGAAGTTGTACAAATTACACCGTTTATTTTAATAATAGGAATAGACAGACAATCATGAGATTCGCTTGATGGAAGGCGAAACACCTAAGCCTATATATGCATCTACACAAGATGCGCTCTCGTCCTATTTTGGCTCTGGTTAATCTAAGCAATTTATAATTAAAACACTTTTAAACAAGTTAAACCTGGGACTTTACTAGTTATTAACTATGACCCGAGGTTGCGAGTGCTTTAACTCTGTAGTTCGTTTTTAATTTGCTTAAGTCTGTCATTTGAACTATTTTCGTAAAAGTAATTCAGAATATTTGCTAATTATATGGTCTTGAGTGGTTTTTATTAAATCCTTTTAAAGGAAAAACTATTTAATGGTGGTTTAAACTCAAAGCACAAATACAGAAAACACCAGGAACCGCATGGTTGGACGTGAGACCACCGAGAACACTGCAATGGAGTAGTGGTGAGGAAATATTTAGCATTGTAATTTTGTAAGCGAAGGTAGACTTAGCGAACAATGTCAATCAACTAATCCCGAGACAGAGACAATCCAGCGTTGAGCGATTGATCAGCCAGCACTAATATTATAAACTTTCCACGAAGATGTACGGATTTACAATTATTATAACCGTTGCGACTAAGCAAAATTTTAAAGCACTCATACGAAATCTCATACTAATACCATCTGAAGTCATCGGACTCAGTTAAAAGATACCTGGCCAAAGGTCACTTCGCTATAACTCACGAGGAACCAAATCGATGACAAAGTCTGGACTCGAACCTGCGAGTTCCTACTTATATTTTAATTGGGTAACAGCTTTTAATTAAGTGCAAACAGCAGAACTTACTGTTGGCATGCGTATGTACGTCTTTTGGTTTTTATAGACCAAATTTTATTGATTGGTCAAAGAATGTTTAAAGTTTGCGTAAAGTAAAAAGTAAAGGATATAGACGTTAAGTATTAAATTAAATTATGAACCCTGAGTCATAGCAAAGTCACGTTTATCCCAACGCTATCTCGAAACACACACAAACTTTCTACGGCCGAAAAATAAACAGAATTTTTGCATATTTATATATTTAGATTTGACTATAACTAAACTCTATATACACAATTATTTACCACCGAATCAAATATTCAAATCATAATAAATACAATTGCATTCAACGTAAAATGTTTACAAGCCCAATTAAGTAAGGAAGAAAGGATTCAAAATTTACATATAATTATATACTTACAAGCGAGAAAACAAATCTATTCATTGTCCACAAACTCACTTCCGTTTAGGAATCAAAGTTGTCACTCTAGCTCATTGCCCTACGCAAAATGATTTAGTTAAGCCCAGTATTCATTAAGGTACATTGTCCCGAACATTTCTCTCCAGACGGTCAATTTGCTTCACGTCTTCAAGTGTACATGTGCCAATTTCACCAAGAACTAAAAACATGGATTGAAATCAATCAACCGTCAAGCCTCTTTATGCGAAGTACACATCGGCTCAGTGTTTTTATTTCTTGATGAATTTGGGTCCAAAGAGGAAATTATTTCGCCTGGCTCAAATGACTGTTGTCAAATGGCGCGCCCTGCTTGGGTAGAAGGAAGAATGCCCCATAATGAATACAAAGCTACATCTCTATCTACAATAAATAAGTGTCGTCAGCGAAAAATCAGACTACGTATTGGTCGTAGCGTACAATCGCGCGCGAATTTGAGATCGTCCCCGACAGCTGATACGTAAATGCCCCGAATACAGATCTCAGACTTGTGCGCGATCAAGTTATACGTAACTTAAAATTATTTAACACTGGTTAAGGAATCGTCTTCCTAATATCGATTGAACCTTCAAAATCGATATTCTACCTGGCAGCTTCAAATTTGAGTGCAAACGGAATAATCGATACTAAAAATCGATTCTATTCGAACGGCTGTGACGAATCGAGAAAGCTAATATGCGATAGACTTATTAATAAGAAAAAAATGCTAATCAATATTTTGTATAAACTTAGGCATTACTTAACAATATAACTTATTTTATATTGCGTGGGTATTTTATACATTCTCGAGAAGATAAATCAATTGTAATTACCTATTTATTATCTCATGCCAAGATCGAGTGGAGCTATCATCGTAATAAAGGCTAAATCCAGTCAAATATACAGTAAAAATTGGTGTCTATTTTTTATTTAAGTCAAGTCTAGTTATTTGGTAGAACCCAGCCACCAAAATGTTACCTAGATAATTAAAATGACGTATTCCATCCACCGTTGTGACTATGACTAATAAATTAATCATGTATTAACAAAAAAAAACCGGTTATTTGAATTTGGCAAAAACCACCGCCGAAGTCTAAGTAATACAAATCAATTACCACGATAAATCTAGTCTCACTAGCACAATTTCTGTCAAGTGTGTCTCTGCCTGAAGCAACTTTTAGCTGGACACTTCATTGAGGTAATGGTAAACAAAGAAGAAGAGAAAACGTGAACTTATGTGTAAGGGAGGGAAGCTATAATTATTGGGCACCATCGGAATCAAGGAAGAAGATAAGTCTTTCGATTTCAGTTGAAATACAAAATTAACTACTTTAGGCAGTTTCAAACCAGATTTTTAGAATTCAGTTCAGAACGTTAATCCTTAATTTTAATGCAAAAAATGGCTAATTCTATAGCGTACTAATTATCAAAATCCATCTTAATTTTAGAGAGTTTTTAATTAATTTTGTGTCACTAACTTTGAGCTTATACGTTACGTTACCAATGGCCAAAACAAATTTTGAATTCAAAAGGCTCTCGCAAGATATCTTTTACCAGTCAACTTGAGAGCCGAAATCCTCTTTCACACGTTCTCGAGGTAAAAGATAGTATGGACACACCTATTAGCCACAATTTTTCTCTATCCCCTACGTATCTAGCACATAAAAAAATTTCACTAACAATTCATTAAATTTATCACTAAGAAGCTATCATTGAATAGCTAAGCCTAATCCATTAATATGACTTTGCCGAACAGAGCCTGATAGTTTTTTATGTGTATTAAGGCAGATACATTTTTGACAACCGATATTCGAATCCAGGATTACCTGGCATAATGCTAGCAGACTTTTAAATACGTATTAGTTACTTCTTTCTGATTATCTAGAACTATCAGGCACCTTAGCAAGTAGAGTCACAATTGATACGTAAAACAGTCGACAATGTTTTGACGTGACAGATGGCTCTGCATACAGATCGGAAACAAGAACTTGGGTCATTTCAGGACACGCTGTATATAAAACGACTGTATCACGTCAAAATGGTGCCCATAAAGTTTAAACAACGATAAAGGCATATCGCAAAGTTGGTCAACATAATATCAAGTTAACACAATAACATACACAATTTCAGAAAAATAGCTACAATTTTATAATAAATTCCGAATAAATATACCAAAAAACTGATTCTAGGATCGTTATTTTCAACTATTGTACATTATTATAACAGTTTTGAACTTATTCACCATTATATTGAGCTGCTGTACACTCGCGAGCAAATAATTTGAAACGGTTAGAGAAAATAAATAAATCTACTACACACGTGTCAACAATCAAACTTAAATATGAACGACGACATAAATTTACTAATAGGAAACCGCTTAAGAATATGATAATTAGGAAAAACAAATTCGATGCTTGCGAGTGTAATTACAAAAATTATTTGGATCCACATTACATTTTCACAATAAGTAACGAGCTCTTAGATGGGAAGAAAAAACTCCGCGCAATGTTTAATCCTACACTCAACATTTACGAATCGCTTTTGGACAGACTATTGTAACAGTTTTGACAATTTCATTTAACGCCTTTAAAACGCCTAGACATGCAATAAAGATAAATATATGAACAGGTTCATTTTAGGACCCAAACAGATACACTGATATTGAACAGTTTTGAAATTAAGCTTCTGGTTGTCTTGTATTCGTAAGTGTTCAGCGTCAAATGCGCACGGACTAAGCAACAACGTTACAAAGACATCACCCTTAATACTATCCGTGGGAACAGCGTGAAAATAAACGTTCGATCAAAGGGTTATCGCAGAAGCGTTCCTAATTAAAACGTGGCTTCATATTAAGCATCAGGCGATCGGTAGGAGGCGCGCGATTCTTGTTAATAAGTCAAAGATTCGATGCCAAAGAGTGCGGAGCGCGGTCGAACGGCTGAACAGAAACCGCCACAGGAAGAAAACTGTCGCGACCTGGGTTAAGGTGTGGACTATGTGCAACCTGAAAGGATTGTTAAGGTACACATTCAATTGAATCATTTTTAACACGTAGAAACGAAAACTATTCTTTATCCCTAAGTTCCATAAGACATTATTTAACTTAACGGCTTTTTCATTTATGGTGATCCGTGACCATACAAAATTCAAGACAAAACCCATCATGCTAATTAGGAACTTTTGGACCTGGTGGGGACCGAGCCCACCAGTTGATTACAAGCGTACGTTACCATTAGATCAGGGAGTCCGAGTTCATAGTCTCAGCTTTACTTTATACTTATGGTATACTAGCTTACCTCCATAGTATGGTCCTAGATTTGGGCAGAGTGTCCGGACTCTCTTTGAACAGAAACCTCCTGATCCCGAGTACGTACGACTCGATGTACGCGTCCCAGTCTATCTTGCTCACGTCGAAGTCGAATGTAATCCTGTCCTGTGGCGACAGGAAGGAGCAGAGCGCCTTCACGTTGTCATCGCAGAACGCCCATTGTCGTGTGGTGAAGTACTCTAAGCAAGCGGACGCTTTCTCTAATTTGTTCTGGACTCGCATCATCCTGGACAGACGCGTAAATTTCATCATCATCATCATCATCACAAACTTCTGTGTAACTGTGTGTATAATAAAATTTAATGGTAGTCGTTTCTTTCTCATTTTTTGTTGTTTAACTATTTTCATGTGCACCAGTTTAATTATATATCGTCCACCACTCGTTAACATGTAGCCAATTTTTTAGAATTGAAAAATAAAACAAAAATCGTGAGGAAGTTTTAAACCAAAATACAACGTATTTATAGATTATATAAAGATCATTAAATTACAGCACATATTGTCCAAACATTCCGTTACACCCGCAGAATATTACAATTCAGTTGGGACTATATTTTAGAAAGCGCATCGTTATTCTGCAGCAACTATTGAATATAATTTGATTACTCGTATGACATTATTATATAACAGAATGTTCTTACGTAGGCTTCCTGCCCGTGACAGTGGATATGAGATCTAGCAACGCTGCCGGAGCTCGGTGCTGAAGGAGAGTTATGATGCTGTGCTTCAAACGGTTGTTGGTTATGTCTCCACCGGGATACCAGACGAGATCACCTGTTACACAATTTAAGCTTTACATTTATTTAAAGTAAGAAGTGAAATTATCAGGTGATTTCATGATTAGTCCTTTCAAATATTGTAGCATTTTGGCGGGCCCGTTGGTGTAACGGTAGCAATGTATGGCTAATAATCAACGGGTCGATCTTCACCGGGTTCAAGATTTTTCAAAAGAATTTATATTCTGACACATATTGGACTTCGTCTGGAAGTCTGGATATATGGGTGGTCGGGATTTCAAATTCCGTCCGGGTCACGAACCATCAACAGATATAAGAGCCGGTAAGTTTAATTTTGTTTCGATGTCAGTCTAAATAAGCCAAAATAAGTCGACAGTGCATCTTGGTCTGATGTTAGGTACACTGGGGTACATCACCCACCATCGAACATAAACCTGAAGCCTCTATCGACTATCATAAAAATGACTTTACGGCACCTGTTCCAGTCCCTCCAGTTGTATATAATGTTTAGAAGAAAACCGTTGTCTAGTGTGAAATACTTACTAAATGGATGTTTTCTCATGTATTTGAAACTCGTTTTGACAAAACGACGCCACGTAATCGGGTTCTGTTGGCCAGTACAGCAGTTGTATACAACTACGCCCTCGCCACTGTAACATAACATAAAACATTTATTATCTTTACTAATATTATAAAGCTGACGAGTTTGTTTCTTTGAATTAGTTAACTACAGGAATTATTTGTTCGAATTTCCATTATTCTTGTGTTGGTTAGAGCATTTATCGAGGAAGGCTTTTAGGCTATAAAAACCAAACTGTGACCAGCAGCAGCAAGAAACAGTGGGAAATCTGGAAAACTCGGGAAAAATTCATTTTTATGAGTTGCCGTTGCGTTTGCCGCGAAAACTATTCAAGATACCCAAAAAGGTTGTATGTAAGTATGATTCCTCTTTAAACAATCTAAAGATCTTTTAGGATTAACTTGCAAGAACGAGGAAAGCGGACGATGTCATGAGTAACAAGAAAAATTTATAAAGACGAGGAGGTGGTTTGCACAAAAGGATGTTGATTACCAAAATAACCTTCGCGGCCACAGCGTGTTAGGAATAATTTTTGGATTGAATAGTCAGACTTAGACTAAGGGCGATTCAATGTATTCGTTTTAGGAAGTCGAAGGTTGAAAAAGTAGGACATTTTGGTAAAATTTGGCTAAAACTTCGAACTCGAGTAATATAACCTTGTCTTCGAAGCTTCGATGAAGCAGTCTTTGTACCTGGCAGTGGCACAAAAGTAACGCCAATAATAATTTAGTATTCATCACTAACACAATTATACTATGATGACATAACTAAAGCAGCCTCGAAGAAGAGCGCACAGAATACTAAAATTCAGTAGGGACTTTGCAAACGCGACTCCGCAACGACAATCGGATATTATGGAAAACTTAACGTCTTGTTTCTGTTTTTATAATCAACATTTACTATCTATTAAAATAACTTTAAATTACATTGCCTAGATATAGACAAGCAAAATGTTTCGTAACTAGTATACTTCGCCTTATAAACAGTTAATCGTGTTTCTTTAAATGTATATTAAAAGATGATACTTTAACGGTTTAAAACGCGGAATACACTATTTTGCCATCATCATCATCCAAAACGCCTGGCCGTAGTTAAAATAATTAAAATAGGTGCAACTAATATATTTCGCGTTTTAAACCGTTAAAGTGTTTGATTTAAATGTGTACTATTCGGTAAAGTGCAGACAGTATTGAAAACCTACCGAGAAACCTACAGACAATACTTATAGTCTATAGACAACCATTTAGATATTGTGTGTGGACGTGTGCAAAGTGTTTTACCGTCTCAAATGAGTTCTCCAAGCGCACACAATCATCAGATTGATGACTGTGTCCACGGGCACCAGATCAGCCACCTTCTCACCCGTCCCCAACATAGTCCTGAACACGCCCTTCCCCACAGCCGCTATTATGCCATTCGGTCCGTTCCAGTTATCCACCCAGCCTTTAACGGGCTCTTTCACAGACGAGAGCACTGAAAAGGTTACCAATAAAAAGTATGAAGTAAGCCACTTTTACCTTCAAACATCTTAAATAGTGATCTTTAGATCCAGAGATAAAACAAATTTAGAAAAGTAACGAAGAAAGTTATCGTTTTAAACCGTTTAGTTTAAAATAAGACAACCTTTACACCTCAACACGACGTTTCAAATGATTTACGAAAGATCTAAAACTAGTCATCTTGAGGATTACTAGTATCCAAAAATTAAAACAATATTAAAAAATTTAACGAATAAAGTTATTCTTTTAAACCGTTATATTTATTTATTAATGGGTCATTTTGAAATACTTGCCGCCCGAAAGTTCGAAAGTAACTTCGATACTGAAGTAAAAATTGACAAATTAATTTACATAGGGTTAAAAATTTTGTATTCTTTTAGAAGATTTGTATTTTCTAGACAAATAACTATGGATCTGGAGTGAAGAACGAAGAACTCACCGATAGATGGCCTGACGATGGCCACTGGAAGGTTTCCAGACTCCTTGATAAGCATGTCTTCTGCCAGCGCCTTTGTGAATGTATATGTGTTTGGTCTGTCACCTATAACACATACATGTAAATTAACATAAGCCATACAAACGACTCCAACTACGAGTAATAAGAAGAAAGAAGACGGTTTTCCAATTGTAACACGTTAGAAAGTATTTAACGGTTTAAAACGCGATATTTATTTGATAACTTTTTGTCCCCCCCGTAAACGCTGTTGCAAAGCTTCCGCAACGTTGGGTTGCAGTTAAAATAAATAAATGGCTTAGTAATATTTGTCGCCTTTTAAAATATAATTTATTATATTATATAATAAACACTGTCGTCCATTTAAAGGACTATACATCGGGTACAAATTATACAAAGTTTTAATAGCTTCCATTTTTAAACACTGAAAAAAAATGGCACTGACAATCCAATGTGTCAAGTCATTTGATACCGTCTGTAGCAAAGATACTTTCTCACTCACCAACTAAGTCCGGTGTGATCCTATCGACCAGGTCATCTGGCAGCGTCTGTACCAGCGTGACCACGTGCTCGGGATGCGCAGGCGGTGCGTACACCGTCTCTTCTACAATTTCCCTCTCGCAATTGCAATATGCAGTCGAAACGTGAACTAGTGCCTGAAAACATAATAAATGGAAATGAACATAAGCTAACAGCTATAATATATGGGTTTAAGCCCCACCGGTCCTAACTTTATAATCAATTTACAAGGTCTCCGGTTAGATAAATTGGGAAATAAACTCATTTATCGTTTGAAATACAGGAGCAATAATATGTGAATTAAGTTATTCATCTTTGAAAGTTTCTGTTGCGTACGCGGAAAACTGTGACAAAACCAATAATGTGATGAAAGAATGACCCGTCTTTAAATATCTAAATAAATGTCCTCCACAGTTCAAGACTATCTCAATGCTTCACGCAAAAATCTTTTAAATTTAACAACATTTGCCAGATTAGCTAGCTTAAAATATGTATTGGTCTAAGATCACTGAAAAAAATAAATTCATTGTATATTTGTCCCAACAAACTGTTTCCCACTTTGACATAAGACATTCACTTTTGAATTGTCTATGTCATTCATAGTTTTACGAGCATTAATTTCTTAACCTTTATAAATAGAAGCGTTGTTCTGTTTTCTCCGTGTCCTATTTTGGGTTCCCATAAAAAAGGAACCATATGATGTAATGGCGCAACAATTTTAACTGACAATATGCTGTTTGTGGATTCTTTTAATGTTTGAAAACTTTATAATGGCACTATATAAATTTAAAATCAATCATAAATTGTAAAACTTTACGGCTCGGGCAGGACTTGAACAGGCATCAACAGCGTTCGGTGCTTAGGCTCTATTGAGCTACCGTGTCCTACATGTAATCGACGATTTTTTCAACTTATTGATAAATGCATCTCTCGCGCAATTATTTCAACCTTAAGTTCTCTATTTATAATGATTTTTAATTATTTTTATTCTATAATTCTAAATACTGTCTACAGTTTACGCGAGTACACATTTAAATAAAACACTTTAACGGTGTAAAAGGCGATATATTAGTTAAACTTATTCGACAATGATTTTTAAATTCGGCCCGACGTTTCGGATGCTTTGCAGTACCCGTTACCACGTCTGTTGTCGCATGTCATGTTCACCACGGTTGCTGCAATGCATCCGAAACGTCGGACGTCGGCCCGAAGTTAAAAATCCTTTTTCAAATAAGTTTAACTAATGTATCGTGTTTTAAATCGTTAAAGTGTTTTATTTAAAAGTGTCTTTTAATCATTCAAATATTGTGTGAACTCTTACCTCAAGTCCAAGCATACGATGGCAGAGCTGCACGAGCTGTTGTGTACCCAGCATGTTTATGGTGACCGACAGCTTTAGTTTCTCATCGAACTTCACCGTCGCGGCTGAGTGAAAAACGACTGATACCTATAAAGAAGGTTGTATTACAAGGCAACCAATGGTTTCCAAGAAACGGCAGCGGGAAAAGGGGCCGCCCTATAAGAAGATGGAAAGAAGAAACCTGACCCTGGGCCCTACTGGACCAGGGTAGCAACTGATCGGGTGCAATGTAAGCAGTTGGAGGTGGCCTCTGTCAAAAGGCACACCTAAATTGGAGATATTTTATATTTTTTACACAAAATAAACATTCGGTAAATAAATGCTATTATAAAAAAAAATCAATTATTTCAATTGCTTACAGAATAAATCTGATTAACTTAGTACAAAATATAGAAACCTTAAAAAAAATCTCTGGCAACTCCTAAAACAGGCCAATTAATTTAAAAAAAAAAGGGGGCCAAACCAAAATTTTAAGGTTTATTATTATTTTTTGTTGGGCGGACTTCTGCGCACTGTCCGGCCGAAACTTTAAATGTCTATCCTTACACTTGTTTAACTTTTGAGGTAATCAATTATCTATACTAATATAAAAAAGAGTTTGTTTGAACGCGCTAATCTCAAGAACTGGTAGTTCGGATTGAATTTTTTTGTGTTGGTTGCAGCATCTAGAGGTGAAGGCTTTAGGATGTATAACTTTAGCCTGCGACCAGTAAGAGAAGAAGAATGTGGGAAAAGAAGTGGAAATTATTCGTGGGCTTCCGTTGCAGCGAAAGTGGTTCAAGAATTTTAAAAAATATATATAAAAGTATGATTCCTCTTTAAATAATCTAAAACATGTCCGCAATAGTATATGTTTATCTTTTAAGAATAACTCGCAAGAACGACGGGACGCGGCCGCGTCGTCAATGTTGTCTAGAGTAGTGGTAGGTACTTTGTTTCCTGTTGGCACGGCAACCATGAACTAAGGCTTCCTACCTTTTGACACAGCATGGCCTGATCAGCTGCGCTGATACCAAGTTCTGGCTCCGTTATGTCGCCGACGATTGGAACGATTTTGTTGAGCTCTTGCGGCCGTTCTCTTCTTAACGTTTCGAATAACTGTTAATATAAAAATATGTTAAAATGTTTACTATTTTAACACAATTTTAATGAAACACTGATAACGATTTAAAACGCGAAATATATTTGTTAACTCATTATTCAATACGACCCGACGTTTCGATTGACGTGGGCCTGTCGTAATTTTTTAAAAAAGAAAAAAAAAAAAAATTTTGGGTTTTAAACCCGTAAAGGGGGTTTTTCAAAACTTCAGGGGTGTAGTATATAATATATTCAAAAATTCGCTTAAAAGTACTTATATAATTGACTAAAGTCATACTTTAACAAAAGACACGAACAAACTATTATAATTTTTAAACAACTTAAAGTATCTAAATACCTTTGTTCGTCATAATTACAATGCAGTTTAATCTAAACAGAATTGCGAAAAAAAGTTGCCTCGTTGTTTAAATTGTAGATTTATTATTAATAATATACAAAACTTAGTCAAACTTTACTCTGTGGCTCATAGAAGACCAGGATTCTCCAAAAACACCGACTTACCGGTGACTGTATGAGTTCGCAGAGCCGTGACGCAACATCCTGACCCCGTTTAGGCCGCATCAATAGATAAATGTTTTTAATTTTCGGACAGCTTCGTAGTAATTTTTCAACTAAAACCTGCAACATAAACATTTATTAAACAGGAACCAAACCCGAATCATTCTCTAAAAATGTGGAGAAAAAGAGGGACAATACACTACTGTCACACTTAGAACTCACTAAGTTAATCACGATAAATTTAAAACAAACACTCAGTTTTGGAACCGCACAAACGTGTGTGTTTCGTGGTTCTGGTGGGCTATTGTCTCCAAGGAGTTTGTAGTACGATTTACCACACTCCCCAAGTCACTGTTGCCCGATGTGGGGGGTAAGACCACACCATCAGACAAAAAAAAAGTACTTCCCTCCCAAGGCGATATTTGGTAACGCGTTACCAAGCTATTCCCAAGCCCTACTCACTTTGCCCATAAAGCCCGTGCCGCCGGTGACGAAAATGGACTTTTCCGCATAAAAGTCGGCAACTGGAATGTACTCTTGACTCGGGAAGTGGAGACAGGAAGCCATGCTGGTCTCTTCTGCTCAGCCGCTGTGCAGGAAATGTGTGTGCGCTTAGGGTAGGCTAGCAGTTTATCACTTCATGGCTTTTATTGTCCATCTGTAAAGAGAGGATTAGACTTTTCTTTACTTTTAACAGTAATCTTATATTCTTGTACACTTAAAGATTTTATAGCCCCTATTAAAATCGAACTCGTGACCCGTATTTTATCTATTATTAGATTAAATCGTTGTGTACAAAATATTGCGTGATAATACCGCGAAGTGCATGATAAAACTATTATCTTGATTTACCTGGAAGCGTAAAATTACTCAAGATAAGACCACATCGCCTACCGATAAAAACGTGATAAAAGTTAGACCAAAATCGTGTGTGATTTTACGTAGCCATCGTGTAACGCGATAAGGCACCTCTTCACATAATACTAATGCAAAGCTTAATAATTTGTTTGTTTGAAAGGCCTCATCTCAAGAAGGACTAGGCTGAATTGCTTTTATTAAAAAAAATATATTACAAAATTTTTATGACTCGGGTATGACTTGAACATGATTTATGATGCACGTAACGTGCATTTTTTTTAATTTATAATCGATTTGTATAGTGCCATCATGTGCAATACTTGTAACTATAATTACATGTGAAAATTATTAAAGTTTTCTATTTCTTTTTACATAAATATAACACTTAACGGTTTAAATGCGAGGTGTATTAGTAAAACTTATTTACAATTTATTTTAACTACGTTAATAACGGAAATATGGACTAATTGGAATTATAGTAAGAAATATTTTATTAGAAGTTCTTTTTTAATTTAGATTGCGATATAAAGGCTTCTTCTTTTTATTTTGCAGCAGCAGCTATGCAGCAACCGTGGTTATGGGGGGACTATTCAAGTAAGTAAGAGAAGTTAATTAAAATTTTATTCAAATGTAATTAATAAATAATACTCACATAAAACACAAACACTGCTTTAATTTTATTTCGAAAATACCTCCAAACAATCAACCGAAAATGCAGGGAGTTTTTTTTAGTTCGGTGGTAACATGTATAAAATTTATATAACTTAGAAATTTTACTTACTATAGAAATATTTAAATGTTTTACTTGACCGATTCTGATGGGACTTTGCCTGTCAAATGTTACGAGGTTAGTCTATGAGTATCTTGTGTATTTCGTGCAGCACCGAGAAGCCAGGGGAGTATGTGAAATTGACCTAAATAAAAATATCTCTCTTCGAGTCTTCGTCTCTTAGACTACATTTTTAGTTCGTTTAGATTCTGTTATCATTTATATTGAATGCATTATCGGATTGGCACAAAATATTCCTACATAAAATTGGCACACTGTAAGAGCCTTAAATCTAGCGAAAACTGAAAATTCTTGAAAAAAACCGTTTTAATAAACGAAATGTTATTGGCTAACGCATAATGTAGTATTTTTCTGAAAACGATCGGCTTTTTCTGCAAGAAATTTTTGTTTCAAATGCATTTAGCTGCTATCTATTATTTAGACTCAAATGCAACATATTGATAAAGAAATATATGTTTTCGTCATTGCTATACTTACATATAATCGCTCATCTATTCGTATTTTTTATTGTTTCTCCCGTAAAATCCAAGATTTCCACATAAATTGTCAATACTTCTAACTAGCGACATAGTATTTTGTGACATGATACGCAGAGATAAAAATGTATATATAGATGTTGACGTTTATCATAATCTGTATCTCGCTACAGTTTGGCATTTTGATTTATTTTTCAGCAAAAAGTTTGAGGTTTTATTCAAATAAAACCTTATATGGAATAACGACGATGAACGATTTTGAATCTATGTTTCTTTATTATCTGTTAATTTCTAATGCATCTGTTAAATCACAAATGCGGGGGAAGATAGCTCAAATAAATAAAATGCATTGGTTTAAGCAATTATGTCAAAACAATAGTGTGAAAACCATTATGGTAATTGAATGTATGATATCATGATTTTGCCAGGTTTCCGGTGTTTATAAAATATATAATTAAATACAAATGTTTTTAACATTTTAAAGCAATATAAATACATATATATTTTTTTAATAAAGTAAATATATAAACCGTTATCGGTGTTTCATTGTATAGTGTGCTTCTTTGAGTGTTGGTAACAATTCTCATTTCACACACATTAATTTCTATATTTTAATCAGGAGATGCCTATAGGTTAGCGGTAATTCTTCCTTACTTTTACAGATACATAATATTCTTCTAGAAATGAAAAATATTGGAACCATATATTACATAATATATAATTTTATATCCTGATAGTCTCAGGACCAGTCCCAGACTTAATGTGATTATTTGTTTTTGTGTTTTAATTACACAGCACATATTATTATTTTTTTATGCATCAATAAACCAAAACATTCGTTTCTTTTTTAATAAATTTAATTAAAATGGCGGAATGAATACAAACTACAATATATTTTGATTATATTCAAAGTAATATAAATATAGTTACAACTAAGCAACTGTTTCAATAAAGTCTCAAATTACAATTATTTTATAGCTTACACTAAAATATATAAAAACGACTAAATAAACTGAAAACAATTAATTAAAATTCCATTAATTGCTATCGATAACTGTGACATGTTATGCAAAGCAACATTGTGTTTAAAACTAGTTTTAATGGAGCATCAGATTAATTTTAGTATAATTAACTTTATACATTTAAATAAAACACTATCGGTTAATTTATTAGTTAAAATAGACGTTTGTCTCGCCGTAACCACGGCTGCTGCAATGCATCCAAAAAACAATTTCCAAATTAGTTTACCGCGTTTTAACCCGTTAATTTTTTTTTTATTGTAGGCTGAGTATTTCCGAATGTGTTGTCAAAATAAATGTAAATAGGCTTTGCCTATGTCAAATGTCTATGGGAGGAACAAAGCGTGATAATATAAATCATAGATTTTTTTATATCACTGGCATTAAGAATTTACCAAGTGTATCATGCATGTCTGTTATATGCTATAAATACGACATAAATACAACTCACGCTTAGCCATTTCGCGTTGCAAGACAGAGCAAGTAATTATTCTTTTTTGTTCCAGCTAAATTAATAATTACACGTGTCGCGTTCGTTCGTCACGTTTATGGTATGGAAATAGGACCTTTTAAATACTGTCTATAGTTTACGCGAGTAGTACACATTTAAATAAAACACTTTAACGGTTTAAAACGCGATATATTAGTTAAACTTATTTGAAAATGATTTTTAACGGAGAGTCTCCCCGTGACCACGGCTGGTGCAAAGCATCCGAAACGTCGGGCCGAAGTTAAAAATCATTTTGAAATAAGTTTAACTAATATATCGCGTCTTAAACCGTTAAAGTGTTTTATTTAAATAGGACCTTTTGTTATTTATAATTACCACAACTTTCAAAATTACGTTCAATGAGTGTGCTCCTAAAATAATATCGGAAAAGGAAGATCAGGAAAGCCATTATAAACAATTTTCTTTATTTTATATTTCCGAATATCCAAAGTCAAAATAGTTCGACAGCACATCTTGTTTAGATAGACTGTGAGATATAGATCAAGTGAGCCCTTTGCTTATCTTTCCTCCCCTATCATTAAAAAAAAAATTTCCTTCCTGGAAAGATGACTAATAGCTCCATGTGCACTCTAGATGGCACTGAAATTAATAAGTTTCAAGCCTAACTTAAAATTTGTTTCGTAAATATTGCCCTATCCAGGATTCGAACCTGTATCTTGTGCTCTGGTGGACTCCACTAGGTACTAGACCAGAATTGTTGAAATAAAATATCCTTATTCATACATATAAAGTCAGATAAGAATGTCGAAATATAGAAGAATATTTTTAAGTCCTACCCACACTTTGCAATCCTATATTGGCGTTATAAAGCTATTATTAGGAAGTGACATTGCAATGAAACCCACATTAGGTAAGGCTGAATATACACGAGCAGTTTTCAAGTATGAAAATGAATTTAAAAGACTATCACTACATAGTATAAAACAAAACTTTGTCTATCTCTACTGCTTATATCTTTAAAACTACGCAACGGATTTGATGCGTTTTTTTTTAATAGATAGAGTGATTCAAGAGGAAGGTTTTTATATAAAACATTTAGAGTTTTTCTGTAGTGTAATTAGTATCAGCATTGTACACGAGCGAAGCGGGCGGGTCGCTTGTATACTATAAAAAATACATCTTTCGATGTTACTGATATGTTATGATTGAATACTAGTGGTATGATATTCTACTTTGATAGTTAGAAGTAGGTACTGTCTGTAGTGTCTTTTAAATAAAACTCTCTTAATAATTTAAAACTCGAAATATATTAGTAAATTTATTAACATTAATAAGGCCCGAAATTTCGAATGCTTTGCAGCGGCCATGATTACGGAGAGTCTAAAGTGGAATTCTTGATGTCAACGCAAACTGCTACGCTGCTAATAATTTTTACATAAGTTTAACTATAACTTTTCACGTTTTAAACGATTAAAAGTGTTTTATTTAATTAGAAGTAGTTAAATAAATAAATTTTATATAATACAGGTAAATAGTACATATTACCATTTTCATACGTTAATATTGTATTCACCATTTATTAGGGTGAAAGATTCTACCTTATAAGGTCTGAACACGGGTACACACACACACACAGGAGATGGGGCTTCAGAAAACACCGCTTTAACCATTACTACCACTAAATTAGTGATGTTTTTTCAGACCGATGGCTTAACATGCTTTTTCTTAAAAATTTGTTACATCGAGTAATCGAATTTTGCACCTAGCGACATGCAATGCGAGTGTACAACCAGACCGATTCAGTACGCAAGCATATTTTGATCACTCCGTGTGTAATCGCCCTATAAATAACACCTAATTCCCCAGTATTCTGACCTAGCTAATCGCATTGTGTGGATTAGACAACACGTTGTTGCCATGTTACACCATTTTCAACACATCTTTGACAAGGCATCCACGATGGGTTTAGAGCG